GATGAAGTCCTGCAGAGTAGTAAGGATTCAGGAAAGACTCTACATACCCAGGGCATGTACATGCTACTGTTGTGTCAAAAAAGAAACACACCCTACAATAAGAACAGGGACCGTTATTATAATCAACCCCAACAGAGGTCCTATGATGTTAGTTTCCTCCACACAATGCCTTTGAGAAGACTTCCGTCGCAATCCCACTCCTCCATTTCTCAGGCGACCAAACAATACATTTGAGGATTTGGTCAAGGGTCCTCCTGACCTCCCCACCAATCTAGTGCCAGTAAACCATCTTTTTACCCACAAATTACGTCTCTTCCTCCAACGCTGGGATGCCATTACATCAGACCTGTGGGTCTTGGAGATTATCACACAGGTACACTATCACCTTGCTTTCGCTTCCCCTTAGTCTTTCCCCTTCCCAGTCCTCTTCCAGGGATGCCTATCATGAGATCCATCTCAGACAAGAGGCCGACAATAGGAGCAATAGAGAAGGCCCTAGCGCACATTGAGTGTCTTTTACTGAAACTACTTCCTAACTGAGAAGCATACAGGAAGATAGAGATATATTTTAGACCCCTGCAAATTAAACAAATTCCTATACAAACAACATTCCAAGATGGTCACATTAGCACCGATCATACCAGCACTGGACCAAGGGGACCGGTTTGCAATCCTCAACCTACAGTATGTGTACTTTTATGTCACTGTACACCCAGCTCACAGATGATACTTATGTTCCACCATTGGCGATGACCACTTTCAATACGGAGTCCTCCTCTTGGGCTGTCATCCACCCCCCATGTTTTCTCAAAGGTCCTTGCAGTGGTGATGGTGCACTTTCAACAACATGGGGTAATGATATTCTCTTTTTAGATGACTGCCTCATAAAGGGATGGCCTCCCACAGAGGCAGCTGACATGGTCCAAAAGACCAGACTTTTGTTTTATTGCTTCAGGCTCCTAATAAACAACCAGATAGTAACTTTAGATCCAGTTGAGAACATAGAGTTCATTGGATCTTGACTTGACTCGCTCTCCGCCTGAACATATCTGCCATAGCACGGGTTCTTGGCCATCCAAGATTTCTTAACTGCATTCCCGTAATTGCTTCCATCACCATTTGTATCTTCCTTCAGCTGCTGGGTCATATGGCACCCACCACATACCTGCTATACTTCGCACAACTGCACTTTCGTGTCCTGCAGCATTGGCTGGCCTCAGTCTGCACCCCTGCCTGCCATCCCCTCCACAAGCTACTCACGGTCCCGAGGAAGGTATTGGACGCCCTCCAATGGTGGATGTCTCCGCAGATCCTCTTAGTGGGTGTTGCCTTCCACCAGCCTGAGCCTACGGAACAGATCACCACCGATGCATCCTTACTGGGCTGGGGGGCTCACCTCAATCACCAGACTGCTCAGGGCAGATGGCTGCTGCATGGAATGATGCTGCGTATCAATCTACTCAAACTCAGAGCAGTGAGGAATGCTTGTGTGCACTTCACAAACATCATTACCAACTTGGCTATCCACGTACTTGCAGACAACACGACTACCATGTTTTGTATAAACAGACGGGGGAAGCCTGTTCTCCATCCCTCTGTAAGGCCATACGACTATGGAATTGGTGCATTCATCACGGAGTTACCCTGAAGGCAGCAATGCCTTCTGGGAGTAAACAATATCACAGTGGATGCCCTCAGCTGCAACTTCACCACTGCTCAAGAGTGGGAACTACACCCTGCCAAGTCGACACACGTATTCCACCTTTGAGGCCAAGTGCCCTTGTTTCCGTTCCAGGGCTGGTCTGGAACAGGACACCTTGGCAGATGCCTTCCTAATTTGATGGGACCAACCGTTTTATTATGTGTTCCCACCATTCCCACTTATCCCCAGGGTCCTCCATGAGATCTGTACTGACAAGGCTCAGATTATTCTGACCATCTAATCGTGGTCCAGGCAAACCTAGTTCCCATATCTTCACCGCATGGCGGTAGCTCCACCACTCCAGTTTCCTCACAGCCACAACCTCCTCTCTCAGAACCAAGCAAGCTACTCCATCCTCAGCCTCAAGCCCTTCACCTTCATGCCTGGCTTCTCTCTGGTTCTATAGACCTGAGTCCAAGTAGTCTGAACAAGTGAGATCTATCCTCCTCCACAGTAGGACGCCATCTACTAGACTTTCTTACCTGAAGAAATGGAAGTATATTTCCCTCTAGTGTCAACAAACTTGCCTCCTCCCCAATACTACTTCACTTCCTGTTGTCCCGGACTGTATACTACATCTAAAGACCTCTGGGTTATGCTTCTCTTCCCTGAAGGTACACCTGAAAGCACTAGCGACCTTCCACGAACCAATAGACGGGTCATCTATCTTCACACACCCCAATGCTAGGAGATTCCTTCAGTGTCTCCTGAATCTCTATCCTCCTCATAAACTCCTGGTGCCCTCAAGGGACTTGAACTTGGTGTTAGATTACCTCATGCAGCCTCCATTTGAGCCTATGGCCTCGTGCCCTCTGTCCTCCCTTATCATGAAAGTGTTATTCCTTGTTGCTATCACCCTGGTGAGGAGGGTCAGCAAGACAGGTGCCCTAATGGCTGAACCACCCTACACAGTCTTCTCAAAAGACAGGGTTCCCTTATGTCCACATCCTGCATTTCTAGCAAAGATTAGTTCCTCATTCCACATCCATGAGCCCATAGTGTTGCCCATCTTTCATCCAAAACCTCATGGCTGTGTCTACTCTGGCATGAATTTCCGGAAATGCTTAAAACGGAATACTATTCCATTTTCAGTTTTTTTGGAAAAGGAGCGTCTACATTGGCAGGCTGCTTTTCTGGAAAAGCCCTTTTTCCGGAAAAGCGTCTGTGGCCAATGTAGACGCGCTTTTCCGGAAAAGAGCCCTGATCGCCATTTTCATGATCAGGGCTTTTTTCCGGAAAAGACTACTGGGCTGTCTACACTGGCCCTTTTCTGGAACAGTGTTCCGGAATAAGGACTTATGCCCGAGCGGGAGCAGAATAGTTTTTCCAGAATAGCGGCTGATTTTGTGCAGTAGAGCATCGTTGCTTTTCCGGAAATTCAAGGGCCAGTGTAGACAGCTCGCAGCTTATTCCGGAAAAGTGGCTGATTTTCTGGAATAAGTGGCCCAGTGTAGACACAGCCCGTGTGTCTTTTCAAGAAGCAATGTTGTACTCCTTAGACATATGGTGAGCATTAGCTTTCTATATAGACAGGACTCGTGACTTTCCTAAATCTCCGTGCCTCTTTATCTCCTTGGGCTGAATGACTCAAGGGTACGCGGATTTCAACCCAGCACATCTCCAAGTGGATCTCTTCCTGTCAAGTGAGTTGTTACTCCCTCTGGAGTGAACCACTCATCTCCATTCCAAGAGCACACTCCCTGCATACAACTGCAACCTCTGTGGCCTTTTTGAACAACGTACCACTCACAGACATTTACTGGGCAGCTACATGGTCCTCTGACCACACCCTCGCCAGGCATTATGCCATCAGGCCTCAATTGTCAGCTGATACAGCCGTGGCTACAGTGGTGCTGGCTTTGCCACCAAGCAGAGACTCCGAGTCCCACCTTCTGTAGCAAGTACTTCTGTGTAGTCACCAGCAGTGGGGCACCCCCGGGGACATCACCCCAAGAGGAAAAGGAAATTACTCACCCCGTTAAGTAACAACTGTGCTCCACAACCCTCTCTTCCGCCCCTCTACTTGGAGCCTGGCTTTCTTGGGCAAGGTACTGAAGGAGGGGTCGGGCTGTGCGTGCGAGGTGCTGAGGTGTGAATAGCAAAAGGTGCCTTCAGCGCAATCACAGCCCTACCCATAAGTACTCAAACGACTCTGCACCTCAGGAAATGACTTGTCACCAACCGTGGAGAACCCGCAGGGATACGCACCTCAAAGAACGGTCATTAATGCACAAGATGAGAAACTTCCTTATGTGCTCCAGAGACTTTTAAGCCGGCAGTTTGTTACATCTGCTAAAAGGCTGCATCAAGAACTTGGGGATAGACGTGTGTAATGGCTTCTCCTTAACGATCCTCCTCTCTGCCTTTTCTTTCTTTTATTAATAACCCCTTAGAGTTTAGATTCTAAAGGGCTGGTGCAGCATGCTCTTTGGGGTCAGATCTGAGGTTCAAATTGGCCTGGGGCTGTGGTTGGTGGGACTGAGAGAACCTGTTTCGAGTTGGTGAGTTGGGTTTATAACCCCTGATCTGTGTGAGGAGTGGGGCTGGTGGTGGCACATCTGGAGTGTCTAAGGGGATTCTTGCTGGCCAGAGTGGCAGTGGAAGTGCTCTGTGGGTGGCTGGTTTGGTGCCTTATAGAGGAGAACCCCAGTCTTGGGCTGTACGTAGGCCTGGTTCTGAGCAAGTTGCCCTGATTGGACCCTCACAGCGATGCCCCCAGCCGCCCTGTTAAGTGACAATGAGGTGTGGAGTAGAATGGGGCTTTCCCTCTTTCCCCACTGTGGCTGCAGGTTCCAATCTGCTCCCAAAGAGGGGGGGCTGCCTGGCTGGGGGACTGGGGAAAAGGACACAGATCTGAGAGTGCTCCCTTGTACCCCCTTCTGTTGGCTCAGTCCGGGGGGGAGTGGAGAGGGAGGCTGCTCCGGCCTGTGCAGCATCCCCACGTCGGGGCGTTCGCCAGCCCCTGTTCAGCCTCAGCTCAGTGACTCCCGTCTCCTCCTCCGCAGGTCGTGGCCAAGGGAGCCATCACCAGGATCCTCCACAAGGGGCTGGAGCTCAGCGAGGGGGCTGGTAAGTGGTGGGGGACGGGTGTGCATTGGGGATGGAGCCCCTGGGCAGGGACCGGGCGGGGGGAGGGGCTCTGCTGGCTGGGCCTGACTGCCCCCCACGTTGGCTCAGTCTGTGGGTGGGGGAGAGGCAGCTCCTGCCCTGACTCCGGCCTGTGCAGCATCCCCATGTCGGGGCGTTCGCCAGCCCCTGTTCAGCCTCAGCTCAGTGACTCCCATCTCCTCCTCCACAGGTCGTGGCCAAGGGAGCCATCGCCAGGATCCTCCACAAGGGGCTGAAGCTCAGAAAGGGGGCTGGTAAGTGGTGGGGGAGGGGTGTGCATTGGGGATGGAGACCCTGGGCAGAGACTGGGTGGGAGGAGGGGCTCTGCTGGCTGGGCCTGACTGCCCCTGACTGCCCCCCACTGCCTCTAGGACTGAAGGGCTCCTTCTCCGTGGAGCTGCCCGTCGGTGCTGAGCTGGCGCCGGCTGCCAAGGTGCTGAGTTACACGGTGCTGCCCGACGGAGAGATGGCTGCCGACAGCGCCCTGCTGCGCGTGGCCAAGTGCCTCCCCAACAAGGTGAGCCCGGGGGGGGGGGCCGAGGGGCTTGGGGGGAACCGCTCCTGCCCCGTAACTGGAGCCCTGAGCAGGGCATCACTGGATGACCTGGGCCCTCCCCTCCCTGGTCCCTTCTGCCCCCCTCCCCTGTCCGTTTTACTGGGTGCATCAACTCCCCAACCCCACCTCTAGCACCGACTCCCAAAGCCCCCACGTCCAGTGGGGCCTAAGGTCAGACTGACACTCGGTGCCTGTGGGTCGTGGCCCTGCCCCTGCCTGTTTCCCCCTGCTCCTGGGCGAGGTGTGTCTCTCTCCCCTCCCTCTTGATGCCCTGTGCCTCGCCAGGTGAAGCTGGCCTTCTCGCAGGACCGGGCCCTGCCAGGCTCGGAGCTCCAGCTGCAGGTGCAGGCTGCCCCCGGGTCCCTGTGCGCCGTCCGCGCCGTGGATCGCAGCGTGCTGCTCATGAAGCCTGAGGCCGAGCTCAGCGTCGACACGGTGAGTCCAGAGCAGCTCGGCCATTCGCCCCACCCCTCCCCCGACGAGTCCTCCCCCCTCGCAGGAGGGGCGATGCATGGCCACTGGGGGACACCCCTCGAGGCCACCTCTCCTGGTCACAGGGCTGCTCCAATGGCACTTGGCCCCCCCTCTGCGGGGTCCCCACTTCCCTTGTCTGATCTCCCATCAGCCCTTGCAGCGCCCCCCCAATTCCCCTCACCCGGCTCTGGCTGGGCACACGGAGCTCGGAGCTGAGACAATGGCCGGGGTAACCGGAGCTCTCCAGGGCAGAGCTGGTCCCCAGAGGAAGGAGAATTCCCTGCCCTCAAGTCCAGCAGGGGATAGTGGGTCAGGTGCCTTGTGGGAGGCTCCAGCTTCCTCTGCAGCAGCAGGATTTGCCCCTGCTGGGCTGATAATATGGATTTGCGGGCACATGGAGCTCCGAGCTGTGATAATGGCCAGGGTAACTGGAGCTCGTTCTCCAGGACAGAGCTGGTCCCCAGGTGCAGGGGTGGGGGTAGGGGCAGGGAAATTCCCTGTCCCCAAGTCTAGCAGGGGGCAGCTGGCCAGGTGCATTGTGGGAGGCTCCACCTTCCTCTGCAGCAGCTGGATTTGCCCCTGCTGGGGTGATAATATGGATTTGCATTTGGCCTATGGCTGTTACCTGCTATCCAGGGGCTCTCAGACCCTGCACAGGGCCAGTGAAAGTCCCAAGCCCCTGGGGCAGCAGGAGATGGGACTCGATGGGCCAGGAGCTGCGCTACGTGTCCTAACCAGGCCTTTCTGTGGCCCAGACAGCATTGGGGAGGGGCACTAAGAGCCATTCTCTGCCCCACAGAGAGATGTGTCACCATTCTTGCCCTCTCCCAGGGCATCAGGGGCTGCATGTCCATCACCTTGGTTCTCAAGTCGGGGGGTGCAGTGACAGACACCTGTGGGATGCTGTGTGCCAGGTCTGCCACTTACGATATGTGCAAAACTGTTATGATCTGCCAAGAGGAAAGTCTCACGTGCATGATTGCATCCCCTTTGTACTGTGGACATGGAGATGTCTGTCTGTCTGTCTGTCTGCCCACCCGCTCTGCACAACTTGTGCTGTGCTTCTGGGTGACACACAGACACTCCGGCAATGCACTGCCAGCCTGCTCCACGGACCATTGAGGACCTTCAGCTATTCAATTGTCCCACTGAGAGAAGAGAAGGCCGAGCCTTGTGCCTCTACAAGGCAAGAGGGGCGGGGGGGCGTGTCAGAGCTCTGAGGCTTCCAGGCCTTGTGCTCCATGAGCTGGGCAGCCTGTGTCTGGGACAAAGGAAGTGGAAGTCACATGGCAAAAGGGCCATGGAAGGCAGCTACATCCTCATACAGTCCTACGGCTGGAAGAGCCTTCAGGAGGTCATTGAGTTCAGCCCCCTGCTAAAAGCAGGACCAACCCCAACTCAATCATCCCAGCCAGGACTTTGTCAAGCCAAGACTTAAAAATTTCTAGAGATGGAGATTCCAGCCCCTCCCTAGGGAACCCAGCCCAGTGCTTCACACCCCTCCTAGGGAAATAATTTTCTGTAAAGTCCAACCTAGACCTCCCCCACTGCTTCATCTGTCAGCACTGAGAACAGCCTCTCTCCATCCTCTTTCGAACCTCCCTTCAGGAAGTTGAAGGCTGCTCTCAAATCCCCCCTCACTCTGCTCTTCTGCAGACTAAACATGCCCAAATCCCTCAGCCTCTCCTTGTAGGTCATATCCTCCAGCCCCTTAATCAATTTATTGCCCTCCACTGGACCCTCTTCAATTTCTCCATCTTCCCTCTGTATTGGGGGCCCCAGAATTGGATGCAAAACTCCAGATGTGAACAGGTGAGTGCTAACAGGGAGTTTAGAGAGGGAGTTCTCCAGGTAAAGGAGAAACCGATACAGGACTCTTAAGGGAAGAGTGTGTAGTGTTTGGGGCTATCTTGCTGTGTGCTGAGCTTGTGTTTGTGAGTGAGGGTTGGTGTGTATTGGGGTTTTTTCCCCTGTGTTTGTGAATGAAGCTTTTTTTTCCCCCCAACTTCCCCTTTCCCCTCCCCCTCTCTTCATGGAGTGTGCAGTGCTGTGCTTCTGGGTGACACACAGACACTCCGGCAATGCACTGCCAGCCTGCTCCACGGACCATTGAGGACCTTCAGCTATTCAATTGTCCCACTGAGAGAAGAGAAGGCCGAGCCTTGTGCCTCTACAAGGCAAGAGGGGCGGGGGGGCGTGTCAGAGCTCTGAGGCTTCCAGGCCTTGTGCTCCATGAGCTGGGCAGCCTGTGTCTGGGACAAAGGAAGTGGAAGTCACATGGCAAAAGGGCCATGGAAGGCAGCTACATCCTCATACAGTCCTACGGCTGGAAGAGCCTTCAGGAGGTCATTGAGTTCAGCCCCCTGCTAAAAGCAGGACCAACCCCAACTCAATCATCCCAGCCAGGACTTTGTCAAGCCAAGACTTAAAAATTTCTAGAGATGGAGATTCCAGCCCCTCCCTAGGGAACCCAGCCCAGTGCTTCACACCCCTCCTAGGGAAATAATTTTCTGTAAAGTCCAACCTAGACCTCCCCCACTGCTTCATCTGTCAGCACTGAGAACAGCCTCTCTCCATCCTCTTTCGAACCTCCCTTCAGGAAGTTGAAGGCTGCTCTCAAATCCCCCCTCACTCTGCTCTTCTGCAGACTAAACATGCCCAAATCCCTCAGCCTCTCCTTGTAGGTCATATCCTCCAGCCCCTTAATCAATTTATTGCCCTCCACTGGACCCTCTTCAATTTCTCCATCTTCCCTCTGTATTGGGGGCCCCAGAATTGGATGCAAAACTCCAGATGTGAACAGGTGAGTGCTAACAGGGAGTTTAGAGAGGGAGTTCTCCAGGTAAAGGAGAAACCGATACAGGACTCTTAAGGGAAGAGTGTGTAGTGTTTGGGGCTATCTTGCTGTGTGCTGAGCTTGTGTTTGTGAGTGAGGGTTGGTGTGTATTGGGGTTTTTTCCCCTGTGTTTGTGAATGAAGCTTTTTTTTCCCCCCAACTTCCCCTTTCCCCTCCCCCTCTCTTCATGGAGTGTGCACTGTGACTGGCAGGTAGAAACTGTTGGCTTCTAATTAAAGTTTGAATTCTAGAAGCCTCTGTTGATTGGCTGAGCCTTGGTAGGAGGAGGGACTTTCAGGCAGTCCAGGGTTTTATAAAGCAGTGAGCAAGAGACCAAGGAGCTTGCGAACAGGTGAGTGCTAACAGGGAGTCTAGAGAAGGAGTTTGGAAGGGGAGAGGAAAGGGCATGAGGTTCTCTTGCCCTTCTTTTAAATCCTTGCTCCAGGACAGCAAGGATGGATGGTGATAGGTCTGCTGTTGTTACCTGCACAGCGTGTGCCATGTTTGTCTTCCTCCTGGAAGAAAGAAGGGATTTCATCTGCACTAAGTGCAAATTGGTCGCCATTTTGGAAGAAAAAATTAGAGCACTGGAGTCCCCAGTGTCGACCCTACGCTCGATCAGAAAGGATGAAGACTTCCTCGATAGAAGGCAGCATTTGATCCTTCAAGCACGGCAGACAGAAGAGCCAGAGAGGGCAGTACGGGACAAGGAAGAGAACTGGCAGCATGTAACTTCTAGAAGGGGAAAAAGGCCAGCACAGGAATCTCCCAGTGCTATAGAGGTAAGTAATCGCTTTCAGGCTCTCTCCACAGCTCTGCAGTGTTGAATGGTTTGGAAGGGACCTCACAAGGAAGAAACCGCAAGGGAACACCATCTACTGGAAGGCAGAGGATGCGTAGTCCTAGGGATGGGGGTTCCACGACCACCCCCCCAAAAGACGACGACAAGTGGTAGTGGTTGGGGACTCCCTCCTAAGAGGGACTGAGCCATCCATCTGCCGTCCGGACTTGGAATCTCGAGAGGTGTGCTGCTTACCAGGAGCTCAAATTCAGGATGTGACTGAGAAGTTTACCAAACTGATCAAACCTTCAGATCGTTATCCCTTCCTGCTTCTCCATGTGGGAACTAACGATAAGGCCAAGAATGACCTTGAGAAGGTTACTGCAGATTAGGTAGTGCTGGGAAGAAGGATCCAAGAATTCGGAGCGCAAGTGGTGTTCTCGTCCACTCTCCAGACCCTGTTGAAGGGAAAGGACTCCTCCTGCCTCCTCCCCTCTCTCTCAGCTCTCCTCCACCTCCTGCCTTCTATTGAGGAAGTCAATGCGTGGTTGCGCAGATGGTGTCGCAGAGAGGGCTTTGGTTTCTTCGACCATGGGACTCTGTTCCGGCCCGAGAATTGTTAGGAAGAGATGGGATCCACCTAACCAAGAGAGGAAGGAGCATCTTCATGGGCAGGCTTGCAAACATAGTGAGGAGGGCTTTAAACTAGGTTTGTTGGGGGACAGTAACCAAAGCCCTGAGGGGAGTGGGAAAGTCAGATACCAGGAAGAAATGCAAAGAGGAACAAGCAAGAAAGTAGGACCCCTGATTCGAATGGAGAAGATAGGGCAATCAACTGGTTACCTGGGGTGTTTGTACACTAATGTGAGAAGCCTGGGCAACAAACAGGAAGAACTAGAGGCCCTGGGCCAGTCCAAGAAATATGATTTAATTGGGATAACAGAGACTTGGTGGAATGACTCGCATGACTGGAGAGCTGTCATGGAAGGGTATAGACTGTTCAGGAAGAACAGGCAGGGGAGAAAAGGAGAGCACTATGATTGCTCAGAACTCCAGTATATAGAGGGAGAAAAACCTGTTGAGAGTCTATAGGTTAAGTTTAGAGGTTCAAACGACAGCAGTGATGTTGTGGTTGGTGTCTGCTACAGGCCACCGAATCAGGTAGATGAGGTAGATGAGGCTTTCTTTGGACAACTGAGAGAAGCTTCCAGATTGCAGGCCCTGGTTCTCGTGGGGGACTTTAATCACCCTGACATCTATTGGGAAACCAATATAGCAGGACACAGACAATCCAGGAAGTTTTTGGAGAATGTTGGGGATAACTTCTTGACACAAGTGCTGAAGGATCTGACCAGGGGCTGTGCACAGCTTGACCTATTGCTCACAAACAGGGAGGAACTAATAGGGGAAGTAGAGGTAGGTGACAACCTGGGAAGCAGTGATCAGGAGATGGTAGATTTCAGGATCCAGACTGTCGAAGCAAAAGCCTCACTCAGTTGATGTGGCTAAACAGACAGTTTTATTGGCCAATAAAAGCAAAGTGAGCCAAACATGGTCCCAGCAGAGCCAGGCCCAGTGAAGCTGGCTAATACAATCAATCCTAGTATCTTTATACCCTTGACCAAACAGCCTGACGTCAGGGCATCCCATTACAGAAGTCATCAATTAAGCTAGGAAAAATAAAGCCTTGTCAACAAGATGGCGGACAGGTACGAGGGAGTACCTCTCCTATCTAAACCAGCCCAATTAACATTCCAATAGCACATCTGTCTTGGCCTGGCACATGGGATGATAGAAAGGTCACTCTAGTCTACGTGCAAAGGCAAAAAAACCTGAAATGGTTTCTGTTATACAAGATGGCGAGCCTGCCTGGGGCCACAAGAGGCGGGTGCCCGCCTGGTCTAGTGCGGAGATCGTGGACCTCATCCACGACCTCCACACTAGGCACAGGAAACTGGCCGTCTAGGTCAGGAGAGCTGCCAGCCTGGCCACCCAGGAGCAGGTTTGCATGAAAATCAAGGTGGTCCAGTGAGACCCCCGACCCTGAGCTTAGAATGGCCGTCCTGGGTCAGAACAAAGGTCCATCTAGCCCAGTAGCCTGTCTGCTGACAGCGGCCAACACTAGGGACCCTGGAGGGGATGGACCAAAGACAATGACCAAGCCATCCTTAAGATCCCCTCTCCACCCCCTCTTCTAACACCTCTCTCTACCCACCTGTCCTGCCTCTCTCCTCTGCCCTCTGGTGCCCACTCTCCCCTCCATTCCCCTCTCTGTGTCTGTCCTTCTGCTTCACCTGCACAGTCCCTCTGGCACCTGCCCCTACCCCCTTGCCCTCTTCCTCTCTGGTGCCCACCCCTCCACCACCCTCTGCCCCACTTCTCCTCACACCCCTCTGTACCCTAACACACGACTTGCTCCAACCTCCATCTTCCTCATGCCCACCCCTCCTTTCAACCCCACTTCTCCTGGCAACCACCCTCTCCTCAGTTGCATGGTGGCTGCCCAGCTGTTCCTGGGGTGGGCAGTCACCCACAATGCAGCTCGCTCCTGGGAGCAGCTGGGGCCACAGCTGTGCAGCTCTGCCGTGGGGGTGGGCAGGAATGAAATTCTTGGTGTGTGCTCGTGCAGGCGTGCACCTTACAGGGAGCCCCAAGCTTGTTTCCCTCCTAGGCACTCCTGCTTCCTCCACACTCAGCTCTTCATTGGCTCCCACATCTAAGCAAACTGTGCTTCTCTATATACCTGCCAGCTGGGCTTTCACTCGCCCTAATGGTTTCAGCTGGCTTCTACGAGCCAATTGTGCTTCCCTAGATAGTTGCCAGCTGGGCTCTCCCTAGCCCAAAAAGCTTCAGCTGGCCTCTCTGTTTCTGAGTCCTGGTCTTAAAGGGCCAGTGCAGGGCAGGCGCTGGTCACACCATGGATGGAAAAGGAGGTGCTGTGATCGGCACAGGTCCGTATGGAGAAGAGACAGGAGTTGATTCTACAATGACTTCTCAGTGGCAGGCCTGGACTCAGTGGCCATTCTAGACTCCTGGGGCCTATGACCAGACACAAGTTGGGGGCTCCAGGTCGGCCTCCAGCGCTTCAGTGAAGGGGGGCCTTCCTTCAGAGGCTCTGGGTGCAGACCCCGCTATGGGGGGGGGTTGCCTCCAATTGAAGGTGGCTAATCAACAGGCGGTGTTGGCCAGCTACAATTTTAACACGTGGGCATCCATGAACAAATGTAAAGAGCTCCTGCCATCAACTCTAGGTCTGAGCTCTCTGGTATTTTGGATAAGATGCAAACCCAAAGGCTACGTCTACACTGGCATGATTTTCCGGAAATGCTTTTAACGGAAAAGTTTTCCGTTAAAAGCATTTTCAGGAAAGCGCGTCTAGATTGGCAGGACGCTTTTCCGCAAAAACGCCCCGATCGCGAAAATGGCTTTTTTTTTTTTTTGAAGAAAACAAATCTCTGCTGTTTACACTGGCCCTTTTGCACAAAAGTTTTTCGGGAAAAGACTTTTGCCCGAAGGGGAGCAGCATAGTATTTCTGGAAAAGCACTGATGATTTTACATGAGATTGTCTCAAGCGGCCAGTGTAGATAGCTGGCAAGTTTTTCCACAAAAGCAGATGATTTTGCGGAAAAACTTGCCAGTCTAGACACAGCCACAGTGACCTAGTAATGTGGCTGAGCCTCTGGGATCCGGAGAATGTTTTGTATCATGAGCTGAGTTTTAAAATAACTTCTCAGTGTATTGGAGCTGGGTGCTACTGGTGAGCCAGAGAACTGGAAGGCAGCAAGGGGGGGGTGCGTGGAATCGATAGGACTGACCAATGAGCCCAGGCTTATTGATTATGTAATCGACTACACGCTGCCATCCCTAGTGGGAAGGGGCTGGGTGCTGGGGGAGTCCAGGCTAGAGATGTGAGAGGGGCGATGGTGGAGATTTGCAGGGTGATGTGTTGGTGAGAGGAGGGGCAGGAGCTGGCCATGGGGAGGCTCGTACCTTGGTCTCACGGCAGCCCTTGTCCGTGTTTGTCTTTAGGTCTATAACTTGCTCCCTGATTTTCACCAAGAAGACTCCTATCAAGGGCATAAGTCATGTTACTGTCAGTCCAATGCTACGGCTACAGTTATGTCTACTACTCTTCACGGTGTGCCAGCGACAATTTGGTCTCTCCGGAGGCCGCGCAGAGGGACTCGTGGCAGGGCTGACCCGCTGACCGACCCCAACGGCCTGTTTCAGGTAGGGTTGTGCCTGGCCCTGCCTCTGTCTCCTTTGTAGCCTGAAAGGACTAAACTGGCTCCGCCATGCCCAGGCTGCTGGGGCGACGTCCCACCAAACAGTCCGGCCTGTTCTAGTGACTCCCCAGGGATGCTCCTCGCAAACTCAGGGCTGGGCTGCACCTCCCCCGCCCCCTTCACACCCAGTCCAGTGGGGACGCCCTGTGTGAGTTTTCAGTTCCTGTGACTGTCAGAAGGAGGGGGCAGCGCCATGACCAGTTACGGCTGCCTGGCAGTTCCTGTTACAGCCCATCCGCGCTGTACGTTCAAGATACAATACAAAAAAATTGGACTTAGAGGGTATGTCTACACTACAAAG